CCTATGCATCCAGTGCCCAGAGAGTAGGGAGTATGGAGTGTGTAAATAACAACTGCAATGCAAGCAATGCCTGTTTGCTTCCTTGACCCCACTGAAATTAATGGTCTGTGTTTTAGGTATGTGTCACTGCCACAGAGCAAGATACACTCGGAGACCAGGAAGCACCTGTTTCTGGTGTTCAGGATGAAGTTATGGAGTGGCAACAGCCCTTCCATACACAAAGTTGCAGAAGGATTTTTACTACATGCCCCCTTTTCCCTTTCTACATTTGAGCAGAAAGGTGAAGGAATTGCCAGGTCAAATCTGGGGCCAAGACAGAAATTTTTCCAAAAAATTTTAAAGGGATGCAACTAGTGATTTTTGAAGGGTGCTGCCACAAGAAAGCACAGTTCCTGAACACAGCCTGCCCTTCCTTGCGGTTGTACATGCTCTCACACTGGGAGGAACCTGGATATGAACCGGATCCTCTTTGGCCTCATTACTTCTCCAGCGAAACCCACCTCTCCTTCTCCACCCCAACCCTTCATAAGCTGATGCTTGAATAAACCAAAAAATATGTATCATACTAGGGAGTTATGCTTTAATGTTTATACTATGGCTTTCTGTATAATAGGAATAATCGCTATTGCTTTGTAGTACACTTACAACAAATAGCTTTTGAGATTGCTCAAACACTTTAGCTCCACTTCAGCTCTTAATCAAACTCAGCAGCTGTTTATTGCAATTACACTATAAAGCAATAGACATTATCCCTTAACTAACTGTCTTATTAATATAGGTAGTTACACAGCTATTTCATAGTTAGTCTTAAATAACCGCTTTTAATTATTTTATTAACATAAATAACCATCTCAATAAATTTAAATTAAATGCGTATGTGAGAAACGTAATTTAAAGCTTTGCACAAAATTGCATCTGTTTACTAATGTTTAAATTGATGTCATTGTGTAATTCAATTAAAATACAACTTCAATTTATTTTGATTTTTGATCACCATGGAATACCTAAGATGCTGGGACTTCCTAAATATTGGAGGAAGGATTGTCTGATCTGACTTCTGCTGTTACATGTTTTTGCTATATCATTTTGCATCAGGAAAAAAGAGATTTCTTTTTAACTGCAAAATTTACAATCAAATATGAATATTCAGTTCTTTTGTTTTTACCAGTCAAAGCACCAGAAGACACTGGACCAAATTTTGTCTTCTAGTTCACTTGAACAACTCTGCTTTCAACGTAGGAAAGGATCTTATTTTCCTTGGCAATCCTGGATCCTGCATGGCTTGAGGGATTTGTAGGATCAATCTATTTGCCTTTAGCAAAGGAGGAGGTAGAAGTTGGCTGACCTAGCAAGAAAGCCCCTTGCTTTCATTCCCTCATGGGAATGAAACAACTATTTCCCATCCTATTCTGTCTTAGATTCCTTACCTGAAGAATAAAGAGTAAATGCTTGCTGAAGGACAATGAGGAGAAGAGATGGACTCCCTAAACTGCTACAGGCAGGAGAACAGAAGAGGGTGTTAGAAAGCATTGGGAGAAATTTGAAGAGGCACGTTTGAGGAATGGGGTGAAGGTATGGCTGGAAAATATAATAGGCAAAAAAAGATGAAGAGTCCTGACACATTTTTCTGCCAGCCACGTTTGCTATTATTATAAGCCTCTGGATCCTAGTTCAATAGCTGGTGCAGAGAACTGTAAATATGAAATGCTACTGCTCTGAAATGAAAACACAACAAAACCCCTTGACAGTAATTAAATGTATTAAAAAGTATACATCAAATTCAGGAACACGTAAAGCAGAAGTTCTCTGGGGTCTTAACTTTCATATCAGCAGCTTTTAAACTCCAGACGTATTGAAAGTGAGGTATATTTAGCTATTGGATATTTGCTGAAGATATGAAAGGATAGTAACTAAAGAAAGAATTTGGCCCATGAAATCCAACCTACAGATGGTGAGTCCTGCTAACTGGTAAAGTCCACTCGATACTCTGTCTGCTAGTTAGAGGACATAACCTCCCCACAAGGAATCATTAAAGGAATGACATTTCAATGCATGCACATGTTCTGTATTTGGATCAAGGGTGCCCCAGTGACACAGTGCCTAAGGACATGTGGAATGTAGCTGGAGATAACAAAGATGAAAATGATGATTTACTTATTTTAATGCTTCCATCCAAATGTAACAGGTAACATGAAGGGATAATTACAGGCTCCGTCAAAAACAGATTGTTGATGCTGGGATCTGGCAGACATACTAAGCTCTGCAGGAGACGAGCTCTTGAAGTTTACAGACTATACTGGGCAAAGACACAAGTAATTCAGTACAAAGGGATTTTACGGAAAAATGTAGAGACTAAGAGTGAGGGGAGACATGGTTAAACTTCAGGAAACTGAGAGTTATCAGGGTTTGGATAATTGAAGTTCCAATGTATATTTGCCTACACTGTCGCTCACCTTTGAGCCATACCTAGGCATCTTGACATTTATGCAGTCTGAAATCCTGAAAGCTCTGAGTTTAGACAACTAAATTGTTGCTTGTCAATTTAGTCTTGACTGAAAGACAGGTGTTTTGTTTCAGACTAAAACTCCTTTCAGACTCCTCTGTTCCCAAGCTCAGATTACTGAGCTAGGGAACCACTGAAAATGAAATAACATACAAGCAGCCAGAGACATTTACATACTTTGGACAAAATAATTCTTTGGGCAAAAGTTTTAAGGAGTTTTAATTTTTTTTTTTTTTGTCATATGGGATTCTCAGCTTTAGGTCACTGGTGGAATCTGGGAATGTTGGAGGCTTTGCAGGTTCCTCTGTTTTTTGGTAATGTCGTAGATCCTTTACCTGGTCTGTAACCTACCTGTTCTGCCATACAGTTTTACAAGCTTATTCTATTGAATGTAAAGGCTGAAGAAAAATCCAGCTGAGAATCTGAACCAGAATTCTCCAGAAATTTAATTCTGAAAGAAGGCATGCAAGCTGTGCACACAGCAGCCAAAGGCAATAGTAAAAATTAGGAGTATCTTTTAGCTATTTGATGCTTACCTGCTTATTTTACATGCAATTCAAACTGGATCATTATTACTAGGTGTTCATTCTTATCCCGAGGGAAGAGAGTGGGGTCCTTTCCATTAGAGAACAAGTTCTCTTGGCACAGCTTTGCACAGTCCACAGTCCAAGTACTGCACACACTGCTCTTGCTACACGGGTCCCATATCTAACTGTGGTTGCAATTCTGTAGTGTTAATGCAATGAGGGGTGAATCAGGGAGTCCAGAAAACGGCTCAGGTAGATCATGGCACAGTCCAGCTGACCCTAAATCAAGCTTACCCTCGAGATGCTACCAGCAATGAGAAACAGATGAGTCCATTACCAACAAGTGTCTCATAGCTGAAAGCAGCAGCATCATGCAATGAAGTGCCCTTGCCTACATTCAGCCTCTGTGATAATTCAGGTTTTTCTATTCCCTAGATATGCCTCTGTACTCCTCTCAGTCCTCTCAGTACTGCTGACCGTACACTTCTGACATCTTGGCCTTCTGCCAGGATTGGGCCTTAATTCCTTTGGTTATGCCATTAATGCTGAAGGCAAGAGAACACAAGCTTCATTGTGCTGACCTGCCAATAACCTCAGCTCTGACCTGGAGGGATCACCTGTACTTGCAGAGGTTAAGGGACTCATTTAATTTAGACCCGTAAGCTAGATTTGAACTGTAGCCTCCAAAGAAAAAAGGCAGTGTCTTTTTATCTCATAAGCCACATGGCTCTGGTTACATGACTGATGCTTATGGCATCACGGTATTGGAAAACCATGAAGATATTAACTGTGTGCTCTATTTTCTGCCCTTAACTATGGCCAGCTACTCTTGATTTTTCTTTCTTTTTTTTTTTTTAAGGATTTGAGTGACAAAGTGACTATGCATATCATTCCACATTTGAACTGGAAGACTTCAGTATTTCTACCTCTAGTGTGTAATTGGATCAGCTGCCAGTTACAGAAAGGAGCTGGGTGAGTATTAAGTGTGTGGAAAATGAAGAAGAGTCCAAGTGTGAAGGGGAGGAATAATTTGACAAAGCCTGCAGAGAGCTGTACGTGGTTTTCTCATTCCAAAATGGAGTAGGTTTTGAAGAACACAAGAAAACGTTGGCTTTGATTTACCAGCTCTGATTCATAGAATGCTGGGCACATTCTTGGAGTGACTAAGGACATTTGGAAAGCTGTAGGACCTGCCCCAAGGAGCTTACAGTGCAAATACTACTATCTGGGTGAATGGCTGAATGCCAAACAGAAAAACAGCCTGTTTTTAATCCAAAAATAGTCTGGTTTCTTCAGTCATTAAAGCTGGGCCTTGGTTAGGCAATGCAGGAATCTACTGTCACGGACTCTGCATCTCAGCAGGGCTAGGGCTTGGGCTGTTCATGATATGGTGGACTTCACCCAAATGTTATTTTGTGAAAAGAAGCACATGTTTCTTTTGAGTTCATCAATGAAAAAAAATGAAGCAAATGCAAGCAAAAACCTTTTAAAACTTACTACAGAATTTAAAGTAGATCTCAGGTCTTCAAAAAATGAGAAATAGATGAGGATTCTGTCCAGTCAAAAAGAGAGAGCATTTCTCTCAGGAGAAGAAAATTGCCTTGCCACTGAGTTGTTCCATTAACCATAGTTATGGCAGGATCATTCAGACAGAAGACAGTTCTTTATCCCGTAAGGGCTGGACCATTTATATCATTTGAAAATGCAAGCAAATCCCCTCACATATGAGTAGGTAGTATGTAGGTTTCTGGTCAAAGGCTACTGGTGGGACAGAAGAGCTGCATACTGAGTGGGCAGCCCTTACACTCTTCACACAGTTCAGAGTGGCTGTAAAATATAACTCAGGACAACAGCCTGAACCTGAGGCAACAAACCCAGGGAGTAAGGAGAAAGGACTGCAGGCTAGAGTTAAAGGAAAGGTGAAATCATCCACCCCAAATCATAAAAGAAGCAGGAGCAATCACAATTACCTGGAAATTCAGATAGTTCTCAGGTGTAGAAATCCCACCATAAAATCCACCATGATGACCTGTGAGGAATAAGCAAGAAGCATTTTTTTTTTAGTGGTACAAATACACAGGCCTATAAGAGGGGATTACCAAAATATGTCAAGTCGTTTGATTACCCAGTGGCAGCAAGTTTACATGTAGTATTGTTAAGGAGGTGGAGGGAGCAAAGAACTTCTTTGTTTCCTAACTGCAGGTTGCTCTAAGGTGGTTTACTTCCACCTAAGACCATTCTGATATTCTGGGATTTGGAAATTCTTCTGCTACAGCAGCCACTAGTTGGAAAGCTCAAAAGGGCATTCCAGAAAAGACTCATTGTCACAGAGCCATATCCTTTTTCATTGGTATAAAAATCTGTAGTTGAGTCTCTAAGGCAAAACAAAACAACAACAAAAAAAACTCAAAATTATTTCTCTGCGACTCTCTGATGAAGGCGAGGGCATCAAGACCGAATGCCCTATCTCAAAGGAAGTCAAGATTTGATCAGAACATCTCAGGGAGATAGAAAGGGAGAGATGGCTAGAGACAGTAGTGTAAAGATTTTATCAGCATGAGTTTGGGATGGCCACATCACTCACAGGTCACTATGCTTTCCAGCTGACTAGAGACCGATGAAATAAAGAAGACAGTGGCCCCTGCATTTTCAGGTAGCAGCTGCAGCCGAGACTGCTTTTCCTGGTATCCTTTTGGCCTGGAATCTGCATGCTGTTGCTCAGAAAGGGGCTTTCTATGGAAAAGAAACCTCTCATACATCCTTGCTGCCACCACCACTAAGCAAGCTCTAAAGAAACATGAAAAAAAATATTTCAGTTGTTATACAGTGGGGAAACTTCAAATTCAGTGCAGCTATTTTTGCCTATATTTTGCACACCTCCAATGTTTTCTAGTACTAGAACTAGGGCCAAATACTTCAGAGATCCTTTATAGATCTCAGCATCCAGATCAGCATTGCAGTGAGGAAAAAAAAAATAAAAACCAACAAAAAACGGTTATGCTGAGGAGAATCCATGGCGTTCTTCTTAGAGAACAGGGACAGTTCGTTATGTCTCCTAACAGTGGGCATGATAGAAAGACCCCATTATATAATAAAGACATCACAAGTATTATTTATTTCTACTGAAGTGATGCCTGCGGGCCTCACTGCATTGTGCAAGGCACTGTACAAAGAGTTTTCAGTGGAGCACTTGCATTTTTCAGAAGGTACAATCTAATCAGATATACATGCAGAGATCTTGACAGCTGAGTGGAAAATAATATTGTCATTTCTGATTTTTTTTTCAAATTAGCAAGAGCTTGCAATGAAGCTTTTGTAAGATACCTTTCTTCAGGATTCATAGGAACCCTCTCTTGCCTTGAATCAACAACCAAGGGGTAGCTTTCCTCCTGCCCTGTGCTTAATTCTCTCACTTCATTCCATGTTGCTGGTCTCCTGTACCCTCTGAATACTTTCTTTAGTGACACAAAAGTACCTTATGCTCCAGGGGTTCTTCTGCACTCATGAAACTGTCTCTATTTTTTTTTATCACAAAAAAAAAAAAGAGAATTCCCCTTCCAGTGTCCATCTTTACAACAAGTCCTGATGACAGTGATTAGTGACAGAAGCAAAAAAAAAAAGCTCCAAAATTTCCTTTGCATACACATTTACTTCAATATTTTGATAAGCCAAGAAATTTTACATTAAAATTGTCATTGAGACATCTAGAAAACAGTCTACGTTACAAACAATTGTGTGAAAGCTTGTATGTTTTTCCATTAAGGAAATTTCCATTAAAATCAGCTAAAACTCTGAGACCTGAGTTTCAGGCTGATATAAATCTGTAAAGTTGGTGTCACTATTGGTATGCTGGTTTATACCAGGTAAATACTCTATCTTTAAATACCTTGACCCTGGCATTTCCTTTATTCAAGCAAGGGGAATATTTACTAGCAGAGAGAAGGTTTCATTCTTCGTGAAAAATGTTTAATTTTTCATTCTGGAAATGATCTTTTTTTTTGTGTGTGTGTGTGTGTGTAAAAAACAAGACAATCCTCCCTTCTGTTGTCCAACTTTGAGACTAGCCCTGGCAAGAGCCCGATCTGTGTTATCAGCCAAAAAAACCAACCAGGCCCCCTGATTGCAGTGAGGCAGAGCTAGTTTTTAGGGGATTCTCATGGTGCTGACCAAGGCACATCCCCTGCCCGTGCCAGCAGTGTGAGGCCGTCTCGACTCACTGCTCCGTCATGCCATGCACTGCGCTTGTGTCCTGCTGCTCGCGGGGCGCCACAGAGCGGGCAGGAGCGGTGGGAAGGGAGCAGGGCTGGCCTGGCAGCCCTGAGAAAGTATCACTGGAGGTACTGGTCTCTGCAGAGCAGATGACCTGGATGGGGGGCTGAGAAAGGGAAAAACTGGTGGCACTTCTATTATATTTTGCTATATAGGTAGATAGAGCATACCTAGCGTAGAATATAGGTACTATATTTTGATATATAGGTAAAGGAGAAGAAGCATGAGATCAAAGAAGAGGCAAAATGGTAGTAGGGAAGAAGGATAGAAAGGGGAAATTCAGTAATAATAAAGAACAGCAACAACTCAAGGAAAAAAGTGAACTTACAGACATCTTCACAGGCATGAGCAGAGAAGGATAAACCAAATCTTTCCAAAGCATTAATAAAGAAAACCAAAATGCATTTTAAAATGCAGTTTAGAAAACAAAGCAAGAGGATAAATAAAAAAAAAAAGGAAGGTCTTGTAGAACAAGAGGTAGAGGGTCCTCCCTGAAAGGGAGGTCAGTACCCAATGCTAACACTTATGTTTTATTAAGAAAGGAGGAAGCTGAAGGTAAGGGAAATAAACCAAAATATAAATAATATAAATAAATATAAATAATAAATATAAATAAATATAAATAAATATAAATAATATAAATAATAAATATAAATATACTACTTATAAACAAATGAGACCGCTGTTCTGTAATTATTGTAGATTTTCTGTGAGCATCCCATCAAGAACATTTTAAAATGGTACCAGCTTTCTGTAGGCAGAAATGCACAAATACAGCAAATCAATCCTGCCAGTGAGATGATGATGTTACAAGTCCCTTCCCTCTGTGCCACACAGTGATGCTTTGATCCATGACATTCTCTCTCCAGCCCGACTGCTTGGAAGAGGGGAAGGATGCAGAGTAGCAGTATGTTTAGCAATACAGCAGTACAGTAACGTTATAACTAGTTTGCCATCCCAGAGCTCAATTCAAGTAATAATTACATGGGCCAACTTCTGACTAAGGCTCCTCAAGTCACATCTAGCCCCACTACCCCTTTTGTCACTGGGGAGCCAATTTATCTAAGCAGGGAAGAGACTTGTGGATTGTTCTTGCCAGGAGGTCTAAAATGCACCCTTTCCTAAAGTCTCCTCTGAATGACAATGACATCCATAAAAAGACCAGATGGCAAAGTGATGGTCAGGAAGTATTTGGTCTACAGTTGAGCTTGCTCTGGTGGCGTGTCATGATGGTAACCTCACACCACTGATTCCACTAAGCCCAAACTAATATCTCAAATCTCCTCTGAGGTCCCTTGGAGCAGAGATCCAAGCTCACTTTTCCATAGGTCAGAGAAGCACTCAAACCAATGAGCTGAACTGACCTGAAGAAGCAAGATTGAAAGAGGAGCCATGACAAGGATGTTCATGCACAAAGCAGAGTGGGGACTGGCTTTACAGAGGGTGAGTGGATGGGCAAAACAGAGCAAACACTGAAGACGGGCTTCATTTCTGCAAATATCATGCAGGCCTTTCCTCTAGCTCCAGAGGGCAGACACCCCACCCTCTGGGAGGGAAGTAATTGGCTTATGCCAAGCCCATTTTGGTATATAACTCTCATTTTTGGAGGACAGGAAGAAACACTTTCCACACCGGACCAGTTTTAAAAGTAAAAGTGAATGGGTGGCCTTTAGAATTTATGCAGTGTCTTTATGGGGTTAAAATTTGTCATATATTATGGAAATAAAGGGAACGAATCCTTGGGCACTGTTGTACATATGGACTAAATATTGTTCTCACTTGTCTTCCATCAGTTGGATTATATGATTGATATTAATCATTTAAAGGGCAATATTCTGCCTGTCAGCCAGGGCCCTATCCTGAAAGCGACAAATTCAGACTGACACTGATCACACTGAAAGCAGATTTGGCAACATATCTACCCCATGCATGTACACTGCTCACATACACCACAAGAATTACATATAGTCCTTAGTTTATTACTAAAGTCCAACTAGCTACTCTGGTTTGCAGCAACACAAGCGAGGTGGCTGTCTGGCCCAAACTCTTTAATTCCACAATCTACCATATTGCACTACTACAAAGATCAGGCTGCTGCAGAGGCTAATTAGCTAATGCCCAGATCCTGCAGCCTTTATTCAGACTTCAACTCACCGACTATAACGGAAGTATTACCTTAATTTATGACAGCATCCTTACTAAGAGCACCTTCAAACACATCTTAATTGCTAAAATAAGCATAGTTTCTATTTCTCTTGCGTTTTTTTTTTTTTTTTTTTTTTCGGGGGGGGTGGTTAATTATTTAAACAGGAAAAAAAAATCACCTTCCTTTCTGAAACAGACAGCTTAAAGAAGCAGAGCAGCCTTCTTTTGTCGCTCTCATGCCCTAGTCACATACCACACTAATTCTACCTTTGCTTTAATATTAGCTGTCGATCTGAAGATTGACTGTGTTCTCCTTAAGGCCACACATTCTCTGAATTTGGTTATTATATTAAGGTGCCTTTCTGCCTCTAACTGGGCAGATGCACTGTAAGTGGAACACAAAGGAGCAAAATTCAGCATGCTCCAGCACGGGTCCAAAGCCTCGCACCTCCACAGTGCTGTAGCCTTTTGTTTCAAATGCAGATAGATAAACTACAGATTTTTTTCTTCTTTTTCTTTTTTTTTTTTTTTTTTCCATGACAGTTATAATGCAGAATATGAAAAACTCCTGGGATGGTTTAAGCTGCAGGGTATTCTCCCAGAGTTCTGTCCAAGAA